GCTTTATCAGGAACACTTTGAATTATTTCTAGATATTTCTTTGATAAATCAAGGATCAAAATGCTGTTGAGATTTTTTAGAACAATACTAATTATCTGACAATATAATACTAATTATATTGTCAGATAATATCTATCCAAAGGTAGCTGACCTTTTCCTTTGCTTGGCCAAATATCTATCTTAGCAGCACCTTTGACAAAGCATGGATAGTAATCAGTTTAAAGGTAAATCTTCTGGTGAGTGCCTGGAATAGAGATTTTCAAGTATTGTGAGATAAGTTTGTTTGAGCAGGATAAAGAAGTTTCAATTTTGTTACGATTATCAAAGGGCTGAAATATTCTGTCTGGTTCTACCTGACAAATTTGTATTTGTTTATGCACAAATTTATCTTTTAAAATATACTAAAATCTTACTTGAGAAGAATTTTTATTTTGAAATTATCAATGTGTATGTGTATAGTATATTTTTGTGTAAGATACTCAAAATTTCTTAAATTTTCCTTCATGTATCATGCCAAAAATGATTTACTTCATATCCAAATATTTTGTCAACATGATATCTCATATTCAAATATTTGTGCTTCTTGGGTAGCTGAATTTCTGTTTATTTCTATTTTTCCATGAATATTTGGCATACCTAAAATACCACATGAGGAAATTGAAATTATTATGTTGTTAGTTAACATAACATATATTGAATTTAGAATTTTTATTCAATATTTTTAATTAACCCAATTATCTAATAAATTTTCTGCATAATACAGCTAATTTATGAAAATAGCAATTTCTTTTAGTAATATTACTTATACTAATCATCTTTTTAAGAATTTTAGTTGAAAATTTATATTGCTTAATTTTAATGGTAGAATGTTTTGAATATATTTATCTCATATGTATCTCTTTTTGGTGGTGGGATTGATATCAGGGTTTCACACATAATAGTGAAGTTCTTTACCACTCAGCTATACACCTCAGCCCTTGAATATATTTATTAAACAAATAATCACTTTCAGACATCTCATGTTTTTAATAAATATTTTGCAAATAAGAAGAAACAATGCATGACACTGAGACTTATTGATATTCTTGAGGTATGGAAATTAACAAAACTAAATTTAAAAAAACTAGAAAATAGGAACATTTTATAATTTGGAAAAAGCTGAATAAAATTAAAGAATGAGATTACTTCTTCATAAAGTACACATTTTTTCATTGTTTTTTAAATGAATTTTTTCTTTTAAATTTAATGTTCTGTACAATGAGTAATAGATTGTAAGATATTACTAAATTTATGGAACGCCATCCTGGAACTCAGGGAATCTGTGTAACTTCCCTGATAGGTATTGGTTTGTGGGCTTCTAATTTACATAGCAAGAGAAATCTATGAAATGACAAATCACATTCAGATGACTTGAAAATTTATAACTCTAGTTAATAATTGATTTAGAGAGTGAATGCAAAAATTAAAAGGCAAGAAATAGCATGGAGTCCTTTAAATTCCTTCTTTAAATGAATGTGCAACAAAGTGGGGAATGGGCCTTATTAAAATATGCTAATATATTTTCCAGTATTGACCTTTTGTTGCTAAATTAGAAATATGGCCGACTAAAAGCCATTAAATCTGTTAGAAAATTTGGATTATGAGGACCTCATCAAGAATATTTTTTCTGAGATTGGAACAATTCCAGGTTTAGCACCAGGATTTCTGGTCCATCATTAGCTTGTTTAAGATCTTACTACTCTTACTTTTTCTTTCTTTCTTCTTCTTTTTTTTTTTTTAATGACAAAGGCTGAGGACCTTTTTTGCTGTGGGAATTTAGTAATGAATAACAAGAGGGAGAATGCTGAACAGCGAAGTAGACTTTTATTCTTGGGAGATAAACTCACCAATCAACTTCTTGTCCCTTGGGGCTTGGGAGGTTATAGATATAGTGTTAAAGAAATGAGAGGGAGGAATTGTCTTAAAAAGGGGAAGAATATTCATGTCTTTTTGGGGAATGGGAAGAGATTTTCCAGGAATTCAGGTATCATCTCTTTTTGCTCCTTTATTGTTCTTTCTGGTCATCCTCATGACAAATCATGACTCCTGTCATGGAGTTGAGGGATGTGTCATTTAGCAGCAGATATAATTATAATGGAACTAGAGGTTGTTAGGTGTTCACTCTGGCAACCACTTTCAGGTAGCCCACCTGAAGAGGAACTTCTGGGCTTCAGGAATCCTGTTCTTAGAGTTGAACAAGATTAGGGTGAGGTATAAATTCACCTATGTCACCTTGGCAGTACAAGATTAGGGCAGGATAACAGTGTGACATATATGCAAAAAGAATTTATTTTGCTAGTGAGTAATAGTCTATGTGAATGTGGCAGTAACTACTCAGTGCTTGTTATTGCCTACACAATTAAGTTCAACTTTTTATGTTATTTGCTGTAATATCTTCATGTGGCAAACGTTTCCTCCCAAGCCCTTCCCCCCAAAAAAGAAAGAAAATGAAATGAAAGAGAAAAGAAAAAAAGGAGAGAAAAAAGAAAACAAGAAAGGGAGGAAAAGGGAGAAACTAAGAAAAGGAGAGTGAGAATTCTTTTTTGTTTTTGTTAGGTTTGGTTTAGTTTTTTAGTGTTTAGCTCTGCCAGTGCTGTTTGGCAAAGCATTGAACATTATTGGGCTTCAGTTTTCTCACTGGAAAATCAGAGGATCCTCGGTGATCATCTTTAAGGTGGGTTTTAGACCATGACAAGGTCTAAGTCCTTTTTTTCCACACCATCTTTTCATGTATTATATATATGCTTTAATAAGATCCCACTTTTTACTAGCCTCTAAACATTTCTTTTTCTTTTTATTAGTTAATCAATTAATCAACTAATTATTTACTTTTTTTGCAGTACTATAGATTGAACCCAGAGGCACTCTACCACTGAGCTACATGCCAAGACCTTTTTATTTTTTTATTTTTGTTTTGAGACAGGGTCTTGATAAATTGGCAAGACTAGCTTTGAATTTGTGATCCTCCTGCCTCAGCCTCACAACTAGATGGGATTACAGGCATGTGTGACCATGCCAGCTCTTCTTCCTATATAGATTAATCATTGCATGGTCATCTCATAGTCTTTATTCTTAGGAAACGCAAATTGTACTCAATCTTTATAATTTAGCTCAGTTTTGTCATAACTTCCTTGATTCTTAATATTGAAATTAATTTCTCTTCCCCCTGGGATATTGGTAATCCTTTGGTTAAACTTTTTTTTCTAGCATATAATCGGTATTTTTTTCATCTAAGATTACTTGTGTAACAGTATCTTTGAAGGCAGATATCACATGGTTATTATTCTTATATTAATATATTATTGTTATATTAGCTATTAACAGTCATTGATTATTTTAGGCAGTCAGTAAATTGGTTGAGGGTTAATTACTGAATTTTTTTCAAGATATTTGTTTCTGTGTCCTATGAAAGCAAGGTATACAAAAGCCCCTATCATGGGGACAATATAGAGTGGGGGGACATATACAAAGTAAAATCAGGCTTTGTACCCTATTTTTAAACTTAATCATTGTGTTAATGTTTGAACTGGAACTTTTTGGTCCCCATTGTTTAATCTGATGGGTACCAAGCTCATCCAAGTTTTTTTGTTCTTTTGTTTTTAAAGAAAGGTGAAATAATACATTTAATGTGACTGTCCAAAGAATGTGCCTTTCAAATGTCAATGTCATTTTCATTACTCTTTTAGTGAAAGTTAGAAACTTTGTGATCTTTATTTTGTTTTACGTTTTTTCATCCTTCCCATGGTGCCATTCTTGATATCCAACATTAAGATACATTCATATATATTAAAGTGTAAAAAAAATTCACAAGTATTCAGACTCATATTCAATACTTTATCCCAGTAAGTAGTTTTCCTTGAGTTATGACTCTATATAATATTTTGTTAACTTTATAGTATAGATATGTTTAATACTTTTCTATTAATCAACACATAAAATATGGATGGCATGTTTCTTATGAAAGTGACATAGGCTAAAATGGCATTTTGAATAACATACATAGAAACAGAGCATATGGGTGTTCAAGACAAGCATATGGATCTCCATATGTTAAGCGCTTTCTTCAAGAAACATGGCTGTAGTATTGATAATCACATAGTATGGTGTCCTGATTTAATTAAAGACTAGAGTCCTTCATTTGGCAATAGTAAAAACCCAAATAACATTTTATGAGAAATTTATCCTTAAAACAGTGCTTCTCAAGCCTGGCCACATAGTTGAATCATTAGGCAGCTATAAAACATTACTAATGCCTGAGGTTTTACCCAAAGACATTGTCATTAGATTGACCTGGGCCTCAGCACAAGCAGAAAGTGTTTTATTTTCCCTTTAATTTTTATTTTTTTAAAAATTAAAAAAAAACTTTTTGTAGTTGTAGATGGACAGCATACCTTTATTTTATTTGTTTATTTTTATGTGGTGCTGAGGATCAAATTCAGTGTCTCCACCTGCTAGGCAAGCGCTCTGCCACTGAGTTACTGCCCCAGCCCTTCCATTTAATTTTTAATATTTTAATCTTTTTTATAGTTCTTTAGTGTGTAGCCAGGGTTGAAAGCTATTGCTCTCAAAGTATTGAATAAAAACACTGATTTTGAGTTTATCCCAAACTACTTGACACTGAGAGTTTTTTTTTCCTTAAAAAAAGGTGACAACGATAAAATGAAAGATGTATTTGCCTAATGCTTAAGTCAATTCTAGGTATCAAAAATTAAAATATCTTTAGGCCAAAATTAAATAATGCAAACTGTTTTTATTTGAAAATAAGTTAAGATTCTGGTTTGATATTATTCTTTATTCCTTTCCTGCTTAAAATAAAAATCATTACAAGTACCAAAGAAAATCAAAGTAGTTTGAAGAGGTTTGGTGAAGCATTGAGAATACTATCTGAATATGGCCCATGGAAATATCTTAGGACTTAGTGGTCTCAACTTCTACAAGTGATCAAAATTCAAACCATGAGATTAATGGTAATAAAAGAAAATGGAAGTTTTATTTTTGCAATAAGTTTGCATCTTTTAGCTACTATAAAAATGCAGTTTTCTTTATATGATTGTGCTAAAAAAGCTTTCTGTTTAGGATATCGCTTGTGAAAATGATGTACTGACTTTCTACACATTAAAGTTTTCAAAATGGATTTCCATCCCTCCATCTCACTGACCTCCAATAGATAATGTTATTATTCAGCTGTATCCTGCTATTAAGATGAGAATAAGAAATAGCATCTTTAGATTTTTCATCCTTTTTTTGTTTCATTTCCTTCCCAGTAATTTCCTTTTTTATTCATCTTCATATTTATCCATCCTTGGTGATTTCAAGCTAGAAGACACAAATTAGGAAAAAAAATTAATTGACTTTATTTGCTTTATTGCTGCCAACCCATATTATCTGCTTTCTTAAATGAGTTTGGAATTGCCAGCTTTGAGGGTATTACACTACAGTTTGGGTTGCTGCCAGCATATCCTGAGCAAATATATTTAAATCAAAGCTAAGCTGCTTAAATATTCATGTTATGCTCTTATTATGGTTTAGAGAAATGTGAAACCATTTAAGATTTGCAAACGTGTTACATGGCCAAATAATGTATTAGAACTGTCAGAAATATACTTTAAATTGATGGTGTTAACTTAGTTTCATAAGCAGAGATTTCCAAAGTCATATTAGTTGTGACGTGGTCAAAATATCTTAATTTGTTTGTTATTTTCTGATCACTAGGGCAATACAAATACAAACTTTTTCTTTTGAAATATCTGTTGGAAATGATCCCGTAGTATGTTGTGTTATTAAATGTTGTAGACTCTGATTCTGTGTGCCTTATTTCTGTTCTATGATTTTATAAGCAGCCTTCTATCTCATATACATTATATTTTATTAAGTTAATTTTTCCTCCTTGCTTTGCTGGCCCATTTCTTTAAAAAATGTACAATTTTACATATTGGACGGGGTGGTAGCTCAGTGGTAGAGCACTTGCCTTGCACATGTGAGGCACTGGGTTCGATCCTCAGCACCACATAAAAATAAATAAATAAGGATATGTACCCATTTACCACTAAAAAAAATTTTTTTAAAACTTAACATATTTTCTTACTTTCTACAGACAAGCTTTGATAATTCTTCACTATTTGAATATTGCAAAAAATTGAAGAAGGGAATAACCAAGAAATGCTAAATGACAAATAATCATTATAAGAAACAAAAGAAACAAACTATCTAGGTTGAAGCCAGGCCTTTCACTGTTGTCTTTTCCTCCTTCCCTTTCTCATTTTTTTCCTCCTTCATTTTCTTTCATTGGTAACACAACCAATTGCATAATCAAAGCATCTGATTTGGTGTAGAAAAGATTTATTTCCAAAGAACTATTCAGAATTTATAAATTCTAGAATACCAAAAGCTATTTGTTCATAATCAGAGATTCTAATCATACTAGAATGATCTATGATTTATGAGATGGAGCATTTTTAAAGCATTCTGAGAAATTCAATATAAATTCATGAGATGTCAGTGAGAATTGCCACTGTCCCACCTCTAGCCCTCACATGAATATGGCCAAACATGCTAGACCTTCCCAGCAGAGACAGGGCCTGGTAAGACAGTGCAGCTGTCTCAAAGAAGCCACTTGTGCTGTTTAATGCAGCTAAATGTTGTGATGTCAATGTAAAAAATAAACTAGTTACAGCAGTAGGCCCAGCCTATACTGAGCACAGTTTGTGAAACTAAACCCTTGAAGGGTCTAATATAACTGCTAACTTTCACTGAATTCCGTCCTATATGTTATAGTGTCAGAAGTTTTAATAAATTTCTCAGTGGGGAAACCACAGGTAGTTTTTTGCTTAGGTGAGGCATAAACTTTACTGTGGCAGGACCTGCAGGGATCACATGAGCTTTTTAGTGTTTAACTAAGAGGAAGAAATTAAGCTTATCCATATAAATTTGTTAGGTTCTCAAGATTACCAATCTTGATCATGAATGCAATCATGATTATCATGTAATAACTGAGCATTTACAAAATTTTCATATGCAGCAAATATATTAACTTAAACAGTACTTCTGTGCTACTTATTTTTTTCATGTAATTTGGAGTTGTTTGAAATAATTTTTAAGACTATAATTTATGAATACCTTTGATACTTTATCCCTGGATTTAGTCATAACCAAATGAAAAATATTATTTTGGGGAGTTTGTGTCTATGACAGCTATGAAGAGAGGTTTGGAGGTTCATGGAGCATGACAGACTTGGGAAGGAAAACAGAGATTTCTATGGCAAAGTGGGTTGATTTGTTTGGTTTTGCTATATGTGTTTTGCATTATCTAAAAAAACAAGAAAAAAGTGAAAGTAAGTAATAAGTTTACAAAGTTTGATTCTATTTGTTTCCAGTGATTTTAGCAATATATTATCTGTTGAGCCCCCCTCTCTGTGAGCAAAATTCCATAATTTAAGACAGTGTTTTTTGGGTGATCTGAGTGGGAGGAGGGAAAAGTTCTTTACAGGAGTTTTGGCAGTGGAAAGCATTATTTTAAAACTTCTTTACATTTTTTTAAGAATATTTTTTTATTGGTACATACACAAAACAATTTAATCAATCTCATTCCCCAGTGCCTTCCCTTTCTCTCCCACCTCCGTACCCTGAACTTGCTTTAGTGTACTGACCTCCCTTTATTATTATTATTTTAATTAATGAATTATTAATTATATGTATAAGTGGAATTCATTGTTGGTATATTCATACATGGGAACATGGACATAGAATAATTTGGTAGATTTTATTCCCCAGTCTTCCCCATATTCTGATCATGTGATCATGATTATCATGTAATAACTGAGTGTTTACAAAATTTTCACATGCAGCCAATATATTAACTTTAACAGTATTTCTGTGCTGCTTATTTTTTTTCATTTAATTTCATTTATACTCCTTCCTCTCTCTCTCTCCATCACTTCCTCTGCTCTATTGTTCTCCCTTCTATTTTCCTTGCTGAAAAGATTCTGTCTCCCTGCTTCTAGAATGTCATAAGCCAGAGTACGTTACTATAACAGTGCTATAGCTGTCATACCATAAAATAATCAGACCTAGGCTAGATTTGTACTTCCCAAGTTAATTTTAATATGAAATGTGGATATATTGGGGAGTCCTTATATGTTTAAGGATCAGTAATTTTTTAAAATTCTTGTTCAGGGGCCATTTAGTTGGATAGTCAGGTAGGTAGTGTTTTGATTTGCAAATCATCAAAGAAACATGACATAAACCCACATTCATCACAAAGCCCTATTTAAATATGTCAAGGATTAAGTGATATGGTTTAGTAGGAGATAAAAGAATGCTATTTGTGAGTTGATGGGATAACTTGTTTTATGTCTGTGTGTGATCTGATTGTATTGTAATATCTCTAATGGTGGATGCTATCAGAAACAGAATTATAGCTTCATAAGCACAGGGTCTGCTCAGCATATAATTGAATTAAACAGCTGGTGTTTATCCTGAATTGAGAGGTGAAAACTCAAAAGGCTGGGGTGCAAGAAAATTTGGATTTAAATGTTTTTTTGAGGAACCAGATGTAAGATTTTAGGAACACTGTGAAATACTTTCAGATTCAGTTTCCACATCTGTAAATAAAGTAGTTTTATTACATAGTCTTGAAAGTTCATTCCAAATAAAAAATGACTTTTAAATGTGGGCTTATTCTGGTGCCTGAAACTTCAACTATTATAATAATTCCTGCAATTTAAGACACTATCTTTAGCAAGCTCCTATTAACATATAATACATTACTTTGAAAAGTAATCCATTATCCCAGTGGGACACAGTTACACATTGGCTTTCTTATCAGATAAGCTGGTTGCTGTTTATCAGAGGAGACATTCCATAGGGGATTTGATGCAGGGCCTGACCCAGAGTAGGCCTGCAATAAGTTCTCATGAAATTTCAAAGAGGAGATAACAAGGCTGTGACTGTAAGACCTGACAGGAACAACTTTAGAGAAGGAAAGTTTATTTGGAGCTCATGGTTTCAGAGGTCTCAGTCCATAGACAACTGGCTCCATTGCTCTGGGCCGGAGGTAAAGCAGGACATCATGGCAGCAAAGGAAAGCAGCTCAGGACACTGGGTACCAGAATGCAGAGAGACTAAGCTCAGCTTACCAGGGGCAAAATATATACTCCAAAGACCTTTTCCCAATGACCAACCTCATCCAGCCACACCCAACCTACTTATGGTTATCACTCAGTCAATGCATTCAAGTAGATTAATGCACTGATTATATTAAGGTTTTAATAACAATAATTTCCTCTCTAAACTTTCTTTCACTGTCTGTCACACATGAACTTTTTGGGGACATTTCATATCTAAACCATAAAATATGACATATTTGATTCATGAACTTGATCTAGAATATTAGATGCTTCTAATATGGGGAAGGACTTTGGGGCCCTGAATACCCTTAGGTTGTTAGACAGTAACAGGAATTGTGGCAGATATTTTATAAAGGACAAGGATGCTGAGATATATGCATGCAAGAAGACACTAGAGGAAACTTTTATTAACATTATGATATTGATTACATATGCCCTGAATCAACAAGAAAGAATACCTTGAAGTCTTAGAAAATAGTAGAACCCAGAATCAGAAACTGATATATTTTTACGTTTGAGGCAAAGTATTTTATTTGAGATAATTTATTCTCAAACGTGGTTAGACTAATAGCTGAATATATTTTTGTTCAGGAAGCTACCTGGAGGTAGTGGGTAGGGGAGAAGAAACACAGGTTCAGTAAGAGTTGTCCTGAAAATCAAATTGTTGGAAGCAGAATAGTAAGTTTAGTCAAATAACTATTATTCGAAATAAATATTTTCTATCAATGTATGGCATATAATAAATGCTCAAAAAATTTTGTTGAAAGAATGAAATAACACTGTTTTAATTCAACTTTAAATGAGTATTTGATATATGTGCATGTGTATATTTTTGTGTAAATGCAACCTTAATTTGAAAAAAATAGAGATTGTTTAAGACTTTTATGTAAGCTATTTTTTGTAATTTTTATTTTATATTCTTGACCTTTTGTATTATTAAGATTTTTCATTTGCAGCTATATACATTTTTATCTAAATATAAGAGATTTTAATATTTTCACTTTTTCCATCAGGCAAGAAAAATATATGACTTTCCTAGTTTAAAACATACCTAGACAGACAATGCTAGGAGTTGAATCCAGAGTATTGATGATTATTTTGGGTTGAAAACAAAGTGAAATTTGTTGCCTATTTAATTGGAGCAAGCCATAGCACAAATGTAGCATTTGGCTCAGTTGGAATTTTTTTTTTTTTTTTTTTACTGATTGCTAAACAATTTTAAAGGGAACACTATGTTTTTTTTTTTTTGAATAGCTGCTTATACTTAGACTAAACTGACAAATTAGTGAGTAAAATTGACATGCTTATTAAGCTACAGTTTTGTAACTGTCAGTAATCAAGCCACTGCATAGGAATTTATGAACAAATTCTGAATATGTCTATTTTTTCTTATGTACATAATTTTAATATCAATTATTTAGCATCAATATTATAAGCTAGGTAACTGTAAAATGGTATACTTATCTTAGTGAGGCTTAAGGAAAAGTTAATAAATTAGCACCTCTTGAGGTCACTTATTGATTACAAACAAAGCTTATTATCTTTGATGTGCATTTAATGGAGTAATTGCTTATGAAAATTATAGTAGGATAGTACCAAGTGCAAATTAGTAGCATGACAGTATGGCACTGGGCATACCTGAGACTTTGATAATTTTTTTTTCCACATCTGAATGCAATCTTTATTAACCAAGACAGCCTTTTCACACTTTGCTTTTATGGGATATGTATTTTTTTATAACTAAACTTGCCTTAATTAACATTTTAACTTTTCTACTTCTAAAAATGAATGTACATTTTTGTTCTGTAAATGCAATCTATTGCCCATTTAAGTTATACTTCTTTGCTAAAATCTCCAATGTGTCTTTTCATCCTGTTTTATTTGGTTAGGAATTTCAACTACATTAATGATTAGGATCTTGGTGCTTCACAGAAGGTTATTTCTTTGAATGTTTTCTTGTGCACAACAAGATTGACCTGGAATTAGAAGTTATAACTAGATATACTTGTTTAATCAACTCCTTGAATGCCAGAGAATCCAGTGGCTTCCATCCTGAATGCAAAAGTGAAGAAAAAAGCATTTTGTAATAAATTTAAAACCATTAATCTTTTTATAATACCTTCATTTAAAATGATGAAATATCATTTTTAGACCTGAAAGTAAATTGGTTTGTAAAAACAAAGAACAACAACAGACCCTTCACTTA